GAATACACCTAATGTTCATGTTATATTTTAAAATAGTTGCCATTTGTCTGTCTCATCACTGTTTTTAAAGCTCTACAGTTAACAGCAATAAATAAAAAGTTGGCAGATAATCGCATAAATATGATCTTAAAATGGACTTATAAAACTGTATATCTGATATAACTGAAATAATGCATATATTTTACTTGATTCCTTGCTTTGGACTTGGAGACTCCACCTAAAATCTATGGACACATACTGTAGCTCAATCATATTATTGCACAAATTGAACTGGATTGCATAGAGTGGTAATAATTTCTTGTCCCGAGTTGCCACTTAATTACTGTATCATCTTCCCGACAACCTGCAAATTAGAATGCAGATTGCCTTCCACTCAGGATTTCAGGATCTGAGACCACAGTGTTCTTTTCGTTTGGACTAGTTTCAAACTTGACCTTGGGCCTCAAGAGACAAAGGGTTATGCTGCATTAGTCTGCTGTTGCCACCTATTTCCCACACCATCTGTTGTCCACCCTTGGTCATTTAGTGGCTACCTGACTCTTTTTGTAAGTTGATCACCTCTCACACACGAGGACCAGACCATTCACATGTTACTTTGATGGGGTCATTTGCATAAGCATTTGAATTTTAAATAAACCTAATTTTCTAACCAATTGTCTCTAATGATGCGAGGCAAATTCGATTCCGAACCTCATATAAAACCTGACATGCTTTTCATCAAAAAATATTTAAGCTGCCATTTTTCATATTTCTAGTTCTTCTCATTTAGTGTGGTTAAGCTGTTCCCTCTGCACAGACAGGTAATGGATAAAATGTCAACCTAATGAAAAAAAATAACTTGCAATGGGCTGGGACCCTCAGCAGAGCAAGGTTAAGGGTTTTCATTCAACTGTGACTACTTCATCTGGTGCTTTCATAGGTCCGGGTAATCCCTATTAACCAAGATATGTGCAAAGTCAAAAGATTAATTACACTCACTGTGGAAACTCTAGTCCTTTATAGGAGAGATAAAAACCCTGAAGTTGTACGTAGCTTCCATTTGGAATACGGATCTAATGCTTTCAAAATAATATTTTTTGATTGTCTTGAATGAAACAGAAACTCTTCATAAGAAGGAGCGAATCAAAACAATCACATTCTTATGAAGAGAATATAAGCAAGAGTGAGAGAAAAGTGGAAGAGAGAATCGATATGTTGCATTAAATAAAACAATGATGATTCAGAGATATAGTGCATTTAAAAGCTGCCTTCATTTGATCTTGTAATTATATCACCTGTAGGCTTCTCCATGTTAAACAATAAACCATAATTAGAAAGATCAAAGCACTGAATTATTGCATGGCAAAAATCATTCTAACAGAATGGGTTCATATCATATTCTTTATACAACATGCTATAGTCCTTTAAATTAACAGCAGTGGAAAAGATGTGTGTATTACTTTCACAATTAACCTGCATTCCAAAATCCAGCATGAACATCAGCAATAATAATACAATCAGAAAAAATGAGAGAGAAACTTGAAAATATATTTCAGTGAGACTAAGATGCATCAAGTGCAGGAACAAATGGAACATTGGAGATTTTTTCTTCTAGTTTATGTCTGTTATGTTTTGCTGGTAGTGCAGAAATATTCAGTGAACAGGTCATGTGTATTGTATTGTTAAACAGAATGTCTGGCATGCAGGAAAGTTGCTGTTTTTTTTTTACCATTGTGCATAACTGTACAGGAGCACACTGGAGTTCATGGTGTTAAACAATTATACCATAACTTTATGATAATGCCTATTGACCTTTTGCAGAGGCAACAGTAAGTTGATGTATTTTATTCATGTGGGTACCTCACATAAATGTATTTTATAATGTTAGTTTAAGGGAAACAGAATTTACAGTCCTGTGATATTTTGTCAATCAAGTAATGGCAATTTATTTCCTGTGCTGTAGGCTATTTACCTAAGCTGATGAATTTTACAGAAACTCCCACCCACGTTGGTATCAGTTTCTATTTATGATACTGTCGAAGCAGCAAGGCTCTTTATTGTTGTTATATTATGAATGCAATGCTCATCATTTTCATGGCTGGCAAAAGTATAGGTAGATAACTGGAAATAGACCAGTCATGCTCTTTTCACAAGAAATGTCACACAGCTTCAGTCCTACTTTACATGAAGGTTTTATAGCTGTGTTTTAGTCACCACCTTGTTCAAAAGAAGGAAAAAATGACACATTTATTCTACTTAGCACATTATTACATCAGTTATGATGTGTTTTAAAGTGGAGCAACATTTAGAAGAACCTACCACCCTTGAGAGGCATGGTTAGCAGTTTAAACGTGTGGCTTTCCTCATTGTTTCGGTGAAACTAGCTCTTCCAGAAATATGTCTTGCTGAAATGTCATGTCTAGTCATAGGCAGAATATTAGGTATTAATTAGTAAATGTTATAAGTTCAAACCTGCTTCAACAAGAATATCTGGTAGTTTATACTTTTATTTTAGAAGTATATGCTATGTTAACAAAATATTTATGGAGACACTTTTTCAGAGTTTGGTGTCCGTAGAAATCTTCAAGATTTCAGCCAAAATGCTGAAAATGACATCAGTCAGAGTAGTACGACAATGTTTGAAAAGTAATGCTTGCACTGCTCTTTTCTCTGAAAAAATAAAGTGACGAATTTTGTCATGCAGGCACAAGGAGGTGTCATTTGCTGTGGTCTGGTCAGAATGTCAGGCTTGATCACACTCTGGTAGCTGACATTGGTTGGTGAAAACTATTGCTCGGTAGGCATTTTTTACACAGATATGCTAAGATCAACCCAGTTATCCCCCTTCTGCAGTCAGCTATATTGAACGCTGTACTCTGAATTTGTATCTCCCAAATCTTTTTCTAGACACAGAGACAGTTTTTGTCTTTTGTGTTTCAAATCAATCTTATTTATTTTTCCACATTATCAAGGTTATCATATTTTTCAGAAATATTTATTAGCAAAATGTAAAAGCAATCAATCTCGCAGGTTGTGATGAGGATGAAGCTTCCTGAGTCATGTTTTAAATGTTATGTGAATGTGAATGTGAATAACTCAGAAGTTAACAGCAGATAATTTGGGGGAATAAACTTTGCGCATTCTCCATCTTTATAGTAAAATAATACTTTAACTAATGCTGCACCTACAAAGTTCTTTCTTTATATAACATATAAAGTAACAATATATTTAAGAATAAGAGTATATTATGTTAAATTCAATAAGAATATTTCTACAGATTTTGTACATGCACTGGCCTCCAAGAATATTGGGACAGCAGAGACAATTATTTTTGCTTTACAATGAGTTTCCAATTTTGTGATTTTGAGATTATATCAATGTTAGGATGTTTTATTTTTAGGTAATTCCATACCTACTTTTGATTATTTTTGCTAGAACAAAAAACATGTTTAAATCCAATGATTTCACACAACAATACATATGGCAAAACCTTTGCTTGAAGTAGATTTCAGAGTGTAAAAGTCAGTCTTTGGATTTCAAGTATGGAGTTTCTTCTATATAAGTACACAAAGTGTTTCTGTAAACGTCAAGATTCTGCAATGTTCAGTTACATCAGTCCATGAAATTTAGTTATCAAAATGTGCAGAATTTATAATTATGCTGTCTCAATTTTCTGCAAACTATCTTCTTTGATACCTTCAAATTTATGCTGTGGAGATTGTGGTGTTTTCTCTGACAGTTGTTATACAGTTTTCCTTGGCAGCTCCTGTAATTGTTCTGACATCAAATGCAGATGTTTTTTTTTTTGTGGTAATTATACCTGCGGTTTCTTTTGTTATTATATTTAAAACTCTAGACTTTAGTATATCCAATTTATGTTTCTTTAGAATTCTTTAATAGAAAGCTCTTTGGCTTTCATTTTGACCATCAACTCTAGACTCCAATTACAGAGGTCAAAGCAAGAAAGATTGCTCTGGTGTTCATTGCTCCTTTATGAGTACCTACTTATCCCACAACAACAACTGACTAGCAAGAGACTCCAGTCAGCCTACAGCCCCAAACTTCTGTTTCTTCAAAATAAAGAGGTTAAAAACCACCAGTTTGGTAAATTGAGCCAAGAGAGTAGAACCTAATTGCATTTTCTTAAAAATCAAATATTTAGGAGTTGCATTTATCAGATGTTGTTTTTTCATAATTATTTGTACCAATACTTTTGGAGGACACTATAATATCTAGGAGTTACAGATATTAATCAAATGAAATATGGAAATGATTACTGATCACTTCCATGCCTTTCAGTATCAACTGCAACACTTTGATATTATTGCAGAATAAAAAGTTTGGTCAAAATAATGCCTGGATGGTTTTAAAATGAAATGAAACACAAAAGACAATGTTCTCACTGAGTCTGAAGTATGAAGTGTAGTTTACATTTTCCTAAGTGCTAAATGAGCAAAAGCCAAATAATAAAAAAAAGAGTTGGGGCACAGTTTATAAAGTGTAAATATGAACAAAATTAAAATATATGGCAGAAGTGTACAATCCAGAATAAAATGACATAGAAAATAATTAACACAGAATATATATTCACTTCACTCACAAGTATAATTGTGGGGGAAATAATTTGTTTTGAAATTATCACCTTAGACTTTCCAGTCTTATCCAAAATGCTTTCTAGGGCTGAACATTAGTAGCTGGGATGGAATATTTCCAGTATTTATGGTCTTGAATCCAATGGGTATTGTGCCATTCAGAGCAGCAGGGCTTTGTCATTTTCCTTGACTCTTTATATGCGATTGTGTCCAATTGGGAAACCCCTTTCATTGCTTTTACATTTCAAATGAGCCCTGAGAATTTCAAAACTAGGTCATTTTCTGTGGTCTGTGAAAAATGATTAGGTTTGAAAGTGCTTTGTTTCATTTTATTTTAACAAAACGTTACTTAAAATTGAAAGCACCTTCTTGAGATGTGGATAGCATTACTCACAATTTAAGAAAACAAAACATACGCTCACTCACAGACTGTTTAAATCAAATCATTTCATTTCTGTGTCCATTTGCAATTGCCAGTCTTACAATAAAATTAGTCAAACCTAGTGTTCCAGGTACAACGCTTCCTAAAAATTCAAAACATTATGTACTATACCAGTGACCAGGTACTCAATACCTTTTATTATTTATATAGCTGCAGCAGGCAACTTGCATTTTAAAACCTTTTACTTGGCAAATGTAACACAGATATTGTTCTGCTGGGTTCTCAATAAGGAAGCTCCTTTACTTTATTTTGTTTTCAGGTCTAAGTGTGTATTTTATATTGCAGAGAACCTCTCTAAAGCAGAGAATCTCTTTATAAATGGCCTTCCATGGAAAGCAATTTGTCATTTCAAACATCACTGATTATTATGTGTGTTTTTTCTTTTGCTTTAAATGAAAACTTATTGATGTCTGGCTATTCAGTATGTTTGACACTGCTCCCCCGAGACCCAGCTGAAAAAAGCAATTTTATTACAAGCACAGAGTTGGGTGCTGTCTCAAGCAATTAAGAGGCAGTAATCACTGGAAAACCTTCGGAGATTAAAGGTGCTGCAGCACAGGGAAATGCCAGGGTAAAAACAAAATGCGATGACAACAACAAAAAACACTGAATAAATCACAATAACAAAATAACAAGAAACTAAGTTGGTTAAGATTAATACATTATAAATTGATACATGCATGACAATAGTTATAGCATCCAAAAGAACACCTGATGCTTCTTTTTTGGGAACTTTTGATAGTTTAAAGGTTTTAGTCAAAACTGCATATTAGTTCCTGAACTAAAGATGGTTCATATCTTGGAACTGCAGACACTGATCTGTTATCACCAATAGGTGTAAATCATGGCAAACTGCATTTAGAATGTTAATAACCTTCTGGTAACCTTAAAATATTACCTCAGTTTTCATGTCTAGTGCTGTCTCTGCAAGTGTTCACATTCTGGAGGTCAGTTTTGAAGGATTTATAAATATGCATATGAATCTGTACATTTCAGGCTGCATGCATCTGAGAGGCATCAGCTTTGCTCTTAAGCAGCTGGCTTGATCTTTCTGCTGTGAATCCTGGAATGCCAGTGGAGCTTGTGAACCAGCTTCATGTAGCTCAGAAGCTATTCTACCTGAAATACATGACCACAGGCAGGCTCATCTTTCACATACTTAAATAATCCAAAAATGTAAAATTAAAAGATGAGACAGTAGCTTTGGGCACTTCACAGATAAAAATGGCTACATGGACCGGAGAGGTTTGCTGACCACAGTTTGGAGTCTTTTTTACTTTGTATCCAGACTAGAATACTGTTTAAAACAAATTTACAAACTATCTCACATTTGGATATTGCAAAAAAAACTTTCAATCAAATACATTAAGAACGCTTAAGAAGTATTGTTCATTTTCACAACTGCGAATAATCTCAAATATCTCAAATTCAATTCACCCATTAAATCATTCTTTAGATTTACATTCCTGACAAAAAAAATACAATAAAAAACCCTGCTTTAGGCTTGAAGCCTAGGGTTGCACCCCTTTAGGCTTGAAGCAGGGGAACCAGAACATTTTTAATTCAGGACCTTTAGCCAAATAAAATGTAGTCTACAAATTATGTTGAAGAGTGTTTTGTAGAGATACAGTATAACACCTCTACAGTTTGCTCTTTTATTTCAGCATCTTTCTGTTCAGAAAAAAAAATCATGAGCTGTTAGGAAGCTTCTCGCCTTTACTCCTGTGATTAGTTTTTAAACCAAAAAAAGCTGAAAGAGTCAAACTTCTATTTCAGCGGAAGAAGTCCAGCACGTCAGAAGAACACTTACATGTTAAGCTTCAGCTTAGCAGCCAAAGATTGCATTTGAAATGTTACGCAAACGTTTAATAAAGACAAAGATTAGGAAACCAGACTGTTCATAGAGGTTGTACTTACTGTTGTCAAGGACTGTATAGCTAAACAGCACCACACATTGATTTTGTAACCCATTTTACAGTCAATATTGTCATGTTTTCCACAGAGCCAGAGGGACATTTCCTTGAGGACGCGGGGATCTGTTGCCCAGCTGTTTCTTCTGCCGGCTCTGCTGGATGTGAAGCTCTGCCCAAGTCCCCATGTTGTGTGTGACCTTCAGACTAGCACACGGAGCAGCATAACAAACCTTTCATTGTAGTAATAACACATTTGTGTGGTTAAAAAGGAAGTGATTTAAGGAAGTGGTAAGCTTGCGCTGTGAGACTAAAAGTGAGAAACATTTAAATTACCCATTGAGTTTTAAACAATACTGTACAGTAACATCTACATAGGTTCAAAGTTTCCACTGCAGACAGGAATGAAAGACAATGACATACCATAAAAAGCTGTATTTTCAGCCACAGTGTTTTATTGAGTGCTTAATAATGCAAGTGTACAACAAACTGATCCACAGTCAGAAGTGGCAGGTAGCTAGGAAATTTACAATTATTTTTGTAATGCAGATCTTCTTCAAATACATTTTTTTTCTGTTGTCTGCAGCAACAGCCTCTTAAAAAAGGAAACACAAAAAAAAAACCTTATAAACAAAAGGCAGAGCATAAAAACCATTTGCTGAAACTAATACAAATCTCCACCCTGTTTACATGCACCCACCATGAATGACTTCAGTACAAAAACTTAATTCTAAGCACTACATTAAAGTAGAAATAAGATATATTCTGCATTTGTTCCTGGGACCACTTCGAACAGGAAGAATACACACATATACATAGCTGGATAATAATAAAGCTTTTTCCTATAACAGTTCCAACATTCAATTAAACTGGAAAATCACATCCCAATCTACTCTTTGTATAAAAAAGAAGCTTTCAAGTCAGCAAGGAACAAAGGACAGTTTTTTTTTTCACCAAAAGGTAAACAAAAGGTACAGGGGAAGGGGTGGTCTATGGATGCACTTTGTGAATGTGCTTTGAAGGGAAAAGGGGAATCTGTAGTGGATTTTTATGTGGCGTATCTCTTGGTCCACTGTTTGGCTATTCTGTCATGTTCTGCTCTGTTAGTCAGATACTGTGTAGCAATGCTTCCAACCAGGGGATCAGCTGCAACAAACAAGAAAATAAGTCAGAATTAGGTGCTCATCAAGGCCCAGTAAGGAACCCTACAGATCCATAGTGGGTTTATTTACCATCTTGAACGGTCAATGAATTCAATTTTAGTAGTCAAAACACTGGCAGTGTTTTCCCAGTAGAATGCACTCAAAGGATATGAAATGAGTCAGTAGCGTTTTGTGTATGCCACAGCAACACAAAACAATGTCAAGTTAAGACTGAATGCTAATTTAAATAAAGTGCAGCAAAAATCATTTGTCCTGTCCATCTGTAAGAGGATACAGTTTTGGAGTCAAAACAGACCAAATGGTTTTGTAAGTACAATTCCTTTGTAATCCAACATTCTTCGGTGTTACGACACTGGCTCCCCAGCAGCAGAGAATACCTCGTGCGCAAGCTTCTACCTCAACCCTCAGGGGAAGGCGTGATTCGCTTAGGACAAGATAACCAATCAGACCTCTCAATTACCACCACACCTCCACTCGCCTGAGTACTTAAATCCATTCCACAGTACCTACCTTACTTAGTATTTGGTGTTACCTAGTGAGCTCAACTTCCGCCTTTCCTGCAAGCACTTGCCTTGTGTGTCTTTCCTGGTTTTAAACTATGGCTTACCTTTTGAGTACGGCTCTTGGATCATGTCTTTGGCTTTCCATTGGATCTCTCATAAAAGTACTTATTAATGATCTCAAGCTATTCTTCTCTACGACTACGACTCCTGGACTGCATCTCGGCTTCTTCGCTGGGTCTTACGGTATAAAGCTCTTTTTGGTTTATGGACTCAAGCTCACGTTGTTTGGATTACGAATCTCGAATCTCGTCCCTTGCTCTGTCTACACCAAACTGCCTGAGCAGATATCTCAACTCACTTACCCAGCCTCCGCAGAGGGTTCAATCCTATAAAACCACTCTGTCACTTGCGTAACACTTGGTTATTTACTGATGGATATTATTCACTGACACAATATGGACAAAGTTAAGGGACCCAGATTGCCCAGACGCCCATACTTAAACACAATATCCTGCAATAAATATATTTTCCTTTCTTTTGTCTAACAAATGTTATGGTGATACAGATTAAGCTTTATCTTCTGAAAAGCATACAGTGCCATAGTATCTATCTCTTTAGTCCCTGTACATATTATTTTATATTACACACTTTTCTGTACGGTTATTGTTACTGTAAGAAACCCACTATTACATAAATGCATAAAATTACCTAACTTCCAAAAAAGAAAATGGAGTTAAGCCTGCATAACAGATGTTTAAGCAGTAACAAGTTTAAGTAGTAACAACTGAAGAAGGCTCCACAGCCGACACGTTGTGTCTCTTTTCTGTTCAGCATGGAATAAACCTTTACTTGTTTCTTTAAAGCCTGGATAATGCTTCATTATGTGAACAAACACAAGAATGGTGTGAGCATCTGACCTCGAGGGACGTCAGGAGGCCATTGTAGGCTTGCATTAGTGAAAACAAAATTATTTTATAATGAAACGAGACTAGACACTAGGGCAATTGAAATGTAAGGGCAGGAATAATAATAAGATAAGCAAAATAAAGAAGCACGAGGTGCTTAAAAACATGAAAAGGCAAAATAGAAAGTACAGTAACAGGATGGCCTAAAATGCAACACTAATACTAGTAATAGTGTATGTCCATTACAAAGTACATCTGAAATTAGAACAGAACTCTACATTAAACAGCATAACAGCTAATATGGTACTTTCTAAGGATCATAATCCATTAATCCTAAGCATCTCCCTATATTAATACAACATGCACTATAAAAATGCACAGTTAAACTGGGGATCAGATGACATGCAGATGTTAAACTGATCTGACCATATTTGGGAAAATATCATTGAAGCAAGAGAAGAAGGGTGGTGCATATTTTGAATTAATTTCTAAATAATGTATCTGCATTCTTTTCTGTATAGAGGAAACATCACACATATTGTGTGTATTTGTGCTAATAAACCTCAGTAATAGTGAGTCCATTTGCAAGACCTATTTCAACTAATACTGTACATTAAGCTTATGATTTGTTTGGAAAAACACATTCCAGATGTTCTTTACAAATTGTCCTTTGCCGCCTCCTCTGATGGATTCTGGTAAATTATACTGTAGGTTAATCTTTCCCCAAGCACATCATCTGTCCCTCCTGTCATACTGTAACTGTTAAATAGAAGTCAATTAAAGATATACTCCTGAAATACACCATGGGTTTTTCTTTATATGTGCTAAATGTACACATTGGCAATTAAAGACAGTGAAAAGGGTTATTTAAACATTAAATCTGTTTCCATCTTATTAAAGTCATAAAACAGACAGTTAAAAATTACAAATATGCATCATGTTGCAGTCAAATCAGACCAAACATGTCAATTACATTTAATTACATGTAACCTAATTTACAGTAGTTGGGGTACACCTTATTAGTGCTGCTCATATGATATATTGTGCCTACTGCACATGATGTTGCAGGGATTTTCAATTCTCAAGTCAGTCTTTAGTAGTCTCAAGATCATGTCTTAACTCAAGCCTAGAGTCTTCTAGATTTTATTCCACTGGAGCTCTCTGTTATATATCTAATTATTTATTTACTGCATAATGGTAATACATATATACCAGGCTCCAAGACGTTTTACATGTAACTTTAATAAAGAGAATGTTTTGAACAATCAACAGTAAAATGACCTTAAGAAAAATAATATATATGTCTAACCAAGAAAATAATTAGTCTAATTGTTTAATTGACCACTCAGGTTGGAACATAAACTTCCAACATAAACTGAAAGAAATCAGACCCTGCAGGAACTGAATTTTAGACCGTCATGCCTACTCCACACCTACTAGTTTTCTGTCTAGCCCAACTTAATTACTTCAGGAATACTTCATTGAACTAAACTGCTTGGTTCATATGTTCAGAAATTCAGGTTTTAATGTGATAAGAAAAATAATTGGTTAAAATATTACTATAAGATAAAAATGATAGTTCAAATTAATCATATGATTAGCTCAATTACAGGATCAATAACCAGCAGGTGTGAGTCCCAAGGACTGGAACAGGAAACATTGATCTAAGAAACTGCTGAATTAACTTAATACCAGTTTAATATATGCCTAGGTGCAGCCAGCTGTTAAACTGTGTTCGATGCAATTGAAGTCAACACTTACAAGTTATCTGGAGGTGGTTTAGTTAACTGCAGTTGATAACATCCTCCAAGTTAACATTCATAAATTTATTAAGCCTTCCATCATACCTTCCTTTGGATGACAAAAACAAGCTACCCTTTCCTTTATACATCATCAGGTTAGGAAGAATGAGGGCACTTGTCTGTGACACTTTTCGGAGACCTGAAATCATATTAATATTGTAACTAAACTGAGTAACTTCACTGTCTTTTCAGAAACAAGACATTGTATGCATTTGACAGAAAGACCTCAAAGCAAAAAATGACACCATAAAACCACACTCAAATTCTTTAACAGCAGAAAGGAGAATGATGACTTGGTAGACTACCTTGATTGATTGACAATCAGGGATTTTAGTGCCTAGAATGGATAGCTTACAAATTCTCACGCTGGTCTGAGATATGGATTCCCACAATATGCTGACAAATACTCCCATTGGTGACTAATAGTGGCCCTCTGTGAAAGAGAATGTGAGAAAACCATATTGTATGGGTTTCATTCTTCTTCAATAATCTGGCTTTAGAGGCATATTACTGACTAAATATACGTGCAATACAATCAAACCAGCTTTTTGAGGCTATACAAAATCCATTAGAATAAGTGGCTATTATATTAAAAGCCTCCTTTATCTTTTGTGAGTAAGGCTGAATGAAGATGCCTAGAACAAGAGTGCTATAAAAACACATCTGTGTTGGGGGTGAAGCAGAGCAGGCTCAGGTCTGATCTGTAGTCATGCGTAATTAGTATCTCCAACTCACTAGAACTGAGATTCCAACCCACAAATAGGCCATCGGGGGAAATCAATTTGTCTTGTGTTACCCTGCACATCTTTTTCCTGTATTCATCTGAGAGGAGAGCCTGGTTTTGATGTGTATCATCAAAAAAGACAGACTGAAGATGAAAATCCCTAGTATGCTAGGTTTTTCAGACATAACACTGAAACAACTGATTAATTATATACATTTTTCCCACACTTTCTGAACAAATGCCTCTTCATTTCTTAATACATGTTAAGTCTAAAGAACGCAAAGTGAGAAATGGTGGAAAGCCTTATACATCTAATTTAACGTCTTTCCAAACACATTTAACAATCATGTGTTATTCTATCAAAATGCACTGCAATTTAGCATACTATTATAAAGTGTGATTTCTTTTTTGAGGATTTTTTAAAGAAATTTACTTACATGACAAGTAACATCTGTGCAGTTTACACCTTCAGAGAAAGAATTCAATAGTTCTCTTTACAGATCTAGCTTTAATATAGATCTGTTTGGTTAGGTTTTGGCAGTGTAATGGCTGCCTGAAAAAAAACCATGTTGTAATGTCAAATTAACATTTAATGCAGGCTCTGGTTGTTCCAGAAAATCATGACAGGATCCACTTATTCATTGTGAACATATATTTGATTTATTAAAGGTTTGGAAAAACAAAGTGTTGTCTAAGAGTGTCACAATAAAATGATATGTGTGCAAAGTAATGACAGACCTACTGTGAAACGATTAATGTAAGCTGACTAAAACATAATCTATTTTCAATATTATCTACTGTTGTACTATGCCATTGGTCTCTTATTGCCACATTAGTGCTGCTGTTTAAACCTCACAAACAAAGTATAATGACCATTAGCAATTGTAACATTTCATTTTCTGTGTAGAAACTGTAGCTTCAAATGCCCAGGTTGCGCGAATGAAGAAGTGCAGGTTGGACAAGATCTTGTGTGGTTATGGCATGAAGCACGGTAATGAACGCCTCAGAGGGTTAATTAACTGTCATTCTGCTCTCTGTGCTTTCACTGCTTCCTAATGAGGACTCCCATGAATCTCAAGCTTCAGGGTGACTGAACAGGCTAAGCTCTTTACAGATATTTACATACAAAGGCCTAAAGCGGGCATTCTTCTCACATTAAATTAATTAAACGAAATGAGAAGAAGTGTGGTTTTCTAGGTAGAATAAAAAATGGGAAAATTCTGGACAGTTACAAAAAGATATGTAGAAAACTGTAACAGACTTTCAAAGTGTGCAAACAGACTTCTCGATTGCCTCTGCTGGGTACAAATTAAACATTAATCATTCTAAAATAAAAATGAAACTGCACATAAAAGACAATAATCTTTTGTAGAGACTGTAATCCATCTTTCACCTTTGTGATTAATTTTAACCTCAGAATTGGTTAATTCTAATCTCATATAATATTAAATGATTACATATGACTTTTACATATATATCTGGTGATTAATGTACATTAATGTATGTGGATATCTTCAGCAAGATGTCAAAGCTTCTCTACTTCAGCTGGCATCATTGACTTCTTAGTTGCAAGTACATGAAGAATGTCTCTTTATGTTAATATATATTTGACATAATACAAGGCATCCAACAGTAAAAGCAGTGTCACCAGTATTTTGTTGAGCTTTACTGAGTCTGACAAATAGCATTGACTTTAAGGAGACAGGTTATACACGTTGTATTGAACAGAAGACAAAAGTCATCATTCAGGTTCATTATGCAGTCAGAAAACATCACTGGAAGACACATCTGCTCCCAGTCACTTATGTATGCTACACATATGTAAGCAACTGCATGATTCCAGAGCTTGGTGTCCATGAGAATATTATGCAATGAACACATTAAAACAAATTTGAAAATGTACGAAGGAATTGTCTTTATTTAAACTTATTGGTTTAAGTCTATTTTTAAAAATGTTTTTTTTTATTTCTAGTTTTAGTGCCATAACCCCTCACCTCAACCATGTTATCAGTCCTACTTGAACATTACTAGGACTCATAGTTTCTTCATTAATCAATTTCTAATACAGTAGCATACGTCTTTGCATTTTTCCTTGTTAGTGCAAGGATGTCAGTGCAAAATTAGGGACATTAATTTAAGTGATTTGTCATCTATACCCAGATTAGTGAACATTAGAGAAGGTGTTTCCTTACCAGGATTACAGTCTGTAAGGAGAGAGCAGATGGACAGCAGAACCTTGGAGATGGTGAGTGCTGGGCTCCAGTTATCCTTTAGAATATCCAGGCAGATCACCCCCTGGCTGTTTATGTTACAGTGGTAGATTCTTGTCCGGAAGGTCACCTAAAAAATAAAAATCTATTTATCGCATCACATTTACCACAACATTAAGGAGATTAACAAGTTACTATGAAGAATAAACCTTTATTATTTTGATATGGCTCCTCCAATAATTTTTTCCATTTACATAAACCCATGTCACTCATGTCGGAGGGATTCAATCATTTATTCTAAACTTAAATATCATCCAACCTCACAAAAACATCAAGATAATCAGAGATCAAGGAATCATGATTTCAGTATGAAACATGACACAGTATCAAAATGAAAACATGACCAAATATTGTGTATGACCTCCCTGACACAATTTTACACAACCCTGGCCTCTGGACTAAATGCTGTGGAACTGTCTGCCAACTCTTCCTATGCAGTTGCAGCTAATGTAGATGGCGAGGGTTAGCCGATTGTCGCGGTCTCCATTTGCTGGCATTTCTTGAAATTGTGCCATTGTAATTCTAGTGTGATGGGAGGGGGGGAGGTCTGCACTCTGCCTGTGAAATCCGAGTCACAGCTCACAGAGTGCGGCTCTTAATGTGCCTGCCAGGATTCCACCCTGCTCGCTTGCAAGATCTGAGCAGGCACAGCCCCACTCCATAGACCCCAATACTCTTACACTAGCGCAGTGCCTTGCAAACGTATTCAGCACGGTTTTCACATTTGCTTGCTTTCAGCTCGCAGTCATGACACTTAGAAGTCGCAATTAATGTTGAATACACAAAACCTTCTCTACACACATAAAGCAAAAAACAGAAAGAATTAAACAGATTAATTAATTCAAATCTTTTGCTGTGGGAAACCCAAATTAAATCAGGTGCACAAAATGACCTTAACTGCACACAAAGCAAGTCAGGGATAAAGTCATTGACAGGCAAAAATATCTAGGGTCTCTGAATTTGCCTGTGAATAAAGTCTCCTAAGTCATCAAGAAATGGAAGGTACATCATACCACTAATTGGCATTGGTGCAAAACTACCACAGTGCATCACCCAGTCAATACCATACCTAAAGTCATCCATGATGGGGGTAGAATCATGCTATGGGGATGCTTTTCCTCAGAAGGGACTAAAAGCTGGTTAGAATTAAAAGAAAAATGGACAGAGCAAAGTCCAGGCAATACTAGCAAAAAACAGTTTGCTAAAGACTTAAAACTGGGACACTTTCAGCAGGACAAAAAGCTAAAGCACAAGGCCAAGCTACACAGGATTGGCTTAAGAATATGAAAGTGAATGCCCATGAGTGGCCTAGCCAAATACTTTACTGAAATGCTACTGACAATCTGTGGAAAGACTTGAAAACTACTGTCCGTATGACGTGTCCCCAGGCAACTTGAGAGAGCTTGAGTAAATCTCCCAAGAACACAGGGCAAAAATTGCAACAAGTTGGTGAGTAAAAGTGATAATTGGAAACGAATTCAGAAACACGTGTGCCTAAAATTGCTGCCAAAGGAACTTTCACCAAATATTGAGTTCACAGGTAAAAAATAGCATAAACATATTGATTGCTTAAGTATTTCTCTTTATTTTTTGCTGCAAGTTACAGTACTTTATCTTATCATTAGAAGTCTTCATTTTAAAATGTGAATGCATCATTTTGTAATTTCACAAAATGGGACACCATAGGATGTTCTCAATACTTTTTGTACCACTCCCTAAACAGTGGTGAACTCTGCGGTGCCACAAGACCAGGTTTACTGCTGAGAATGAAGTCTGCACTGTCTAAGTTTCTAGAGGGCTGACGTCACTTCTTTAAGATGCTCTGTGCCATTTACAGTGGCCTGGTGGAAAATCAAGCCTCATGGATTGGCTTGCAGAAATGCAAGAACTGCTTGCTTGGGGATTTTTTATTGTTGAGCACTTATTTAGCACAGTAGATTCTTGCCCACAACATCAAACTGCCACTGTTACACTGGTTGGTCTGAAAAGCCAAATGTCAGCATAATGACCACCACATCTCCATATTCACTGCCTTTTTGTCAGGTCTGTCAAAGACAAAACATAATTTATGGGTGACTAGGACACACCATCACTCTTTCAACTGTCACGTCTGGCACACAGGAGGTGGTGATTTTTTTTTCTCTCAGCAGACCACATTACCCCTGGACAGCCTGAGAGCATACAGAACATTCTCATGAGAAGATACAATGAGGCAATGATGCAGATTTAGTTGTGATGGTCCTGGGCTGCTGTGGTGATTCTCTGTCTTTCAGGACATGGCTTCTGGTTTTCTGGTTTCTGTGCTCTCTGGACTAGTCTGTTAATTGTTCATGGAGATCATCTCATTCCCCGGGCAATTTCTCACGCAGACTCCCTTCTACCATGCTGATAGCAAAGTGGCCTTCATTAATCAAATTGGGCACCTGTACATTTTTGAAATTTTTGCTTTAATTAAAATCATGTCTTTTTCTACAGCTCAGCTATTTATCCAGATTCTTAATTGGCTAATTCTGGTCCTTTTACCTCATCTCAAATATCACACATTTCTAAACACACATTTCTAAGAAATCCGCTCAGTATTTTGTTATAACAGGAAGCGTCACTATTCAAATAACATGCACACCTATCTGCTCACTGTTTAAAATGTACATGACATTATGGAAGTGTCCACTGCGTTTCTCATGTAAAACAAACTTTCATTTTCAGTGCGCATCAGTATGTGAAAGAAAAAAAATCAATAATCAGAATACCTTTACCTAAATCTCTGTTTTAGGGCATTTGGCAGGTTTTAAGTCTGCATACTTCATGTATATCAGAAGCATCTGCTGTTTACAGGCCCTTCTGCTCACTGAAAGAGATAAGCTGCCCCAGGGTGTGGAAAGGCTACTGGAGATGGCAAGTGTGCAGTAGTAATGAGAACAATATGCACAGTTGAATGTAAGCCTCATACAGGGACATGTTTTATTACAGTGAATTCAGGAGGCAATGCTATCTCAGGCTTTGAATTTTGATAAGAAGAAACTTAAACCTGTATTTGTACTAACTGACTAAAATATTAGGAACATCGAATGGAACAACATGTTAGTCCTCTGCAGGTAATGATATCTGGGACTGAACTGCACATTTCATGTGCCTGACCAATTTTCAACCGAACTGAACTCTGGACATTGTTTTGGCTATAGGAGGTGATGGAATGACTGATGTTTTTCAGGACAACCATTTGCTCTGCCTCTAAGAGTCTATTAATCTGACTAAGAGTTGCTTAGAATTTGGACTCTGGGTTTATTTTCTTAACACACTAGTTTCAGTGTGTATGAAGATTTTCTTGTCTGAAGCAGTTCCAAGTGAAAACTGTCTTTTCAGTACAGATACCCCACTTACTGTACTATCATTTCATTAGTCACCCAGCTGGAAATCTGCACATATCAGTACAGCACACTACTATATCAAGTTTCAGCTGACACCTTCTGTTTTAACAGTGCACTAAAGTTTCACTTCCTTTTCTTCACAGGGGAGTTATACAAAATTGCTTTGATTAGAGCTGCTTCAGCTTTCATGATTTTTGCCTTTTGTGCGCACATACAAATATGAAGGTAAGTCAGTAAAGATAATTTGTGAATTACCCATGAAATATATTTCACAGGTGGGGAAGACATATTTTTAAATTTAATCTTTTTGAACATCCAAACACTTCACCCACCATTCCAGGAAAAAGGATACTGTCAAAATAAAATGATGTTGACCGGTCAGTGAGCTGCACAGAACTTCCCTCAACAGGGCAAACTGATGGAAATCCCATGGTGCAAGATCCAGACAAGGTACCAGGATTGGAAGAACAGATCAAAACCAGGCTCTTTGATGCACTGTATTGCTGCATTCTTTGGCCTGATGCAGGAAACCCAGAGACAGAAACTTCAATGATAACGAATGGGGTCCAAGTGGCGGTGAAGGATGGTTGTGGGACCAGCCAACATCATTTTACTACAAGGGCTTGTGAAATTGCAGCCTTACATGTGTGAATGAGCATGTGTGCAAGGAGACTGTTGAATAATAAGACTTAACCCGTGATGTGTATTTGGTGAATAATTTACAAATTCACTTAATTGACTTTCATACCACAGATCAGCCAATTTAAGAATCATTCCACCTTAATCCATCTGTTTTCTATTTGCCTTATCCAGTACAACCTATCCTGGCATGCAATGGGCGCAAAGCAGGACACACCCTGGGTGTGACGCCTGTCCATTGCAGGGCACTCACAGACTAATACAGACTATACACTCACACCAGGGCCAATTTTCGCAGAAGCCAATTAACCTACCAGTATGTTTTTGGACTGTGGGAGGAAACTGGAGTTTGGGACCTGGAGGAAACTCATGCAAACATGGGGAGAACATGCTGTACGAACTCTATGCAGATAGCACCTCAGGAAATGAACCCAGGGCCCCAGTGCTGCTAGGCATCAATGCTAATCACTGTCCCACCATCCTGCCCCTCCTATTCATATAAGGTAAATTCCTCTTTTATACATAAGCATCAGTCCAGTTACAATCCACTGTGTGATGAAGATCTGCCCCCAAACCTTTATAGTGCCCTATGTTTAGCTCTCTACCTCCATGCAGTTCCCATGGAAATAATAGGTCCACAGGCCTCACTCCTGGTTTCATGTTTTGGGATTCAGATTTCAAGATCTATCTCATATCTGGATCTATCTGTGTTGCAAATTTTGCAGATCAATATTAACCGTTTACGAACAGTATTATATAAGTGAGTCATCCTGCAAATGAAACAATGTCACAGTGAAGCTTGGGTTTGACTGCATTTCTTTCTCTTTAAGAGGCTTTATATGGGCATAAGGATTAAGCCTGCTTGTCTGACCCCTACACTGGGTTTTAACAGGCCTTCATGATGTGGAGATTTGGCTTATGTTGCTTGCCTTTCATCTTATTTAGAACTACCTTTGGGACTAACAGCTAATTTTGCTCTTCACTGGAATTTTATACTACTTTTTAGGTTTACAAGGGTAAGGAAATAAATGTTCTTTTTCATTCCAATACAAGTCTTGGTTTT